CCCACGTACCAGAGACATGGAAAAAGACTACTATTTCCGAGACCAACTCTCTTTTTAGGACCTTATCGCCGCTCTTAAAGAGGAGAGAGAGTAACAGGGTAAACACACGACATTCAAAGAGAGGATGATTGCAGCCAAGCGTCGATTGGCAAAGCTGCAAGATGCATTGACTTTCCCTCAGGGATCACAACGGACGGATTGTCGCGAGTAGAGTTCATACCGCTCACAAGACTTGTAAATTAAGTTCTTGAGTATGCGTTGGTGCTACTCCATTCTAGGTGTAAGCACGTCGCTGAAATTTAAGCACCCATACTAATCAAGAGATTTAGTTGCTATCAAAACTTTTCCTTACAATAATCTGGTGTAGGTCTACATCTAGGTCAAAACATTCTCTGAAACCAAAATTTCTAAAATCATATTAACAAAATGGATTTACGGTAGATCCATCAGACTCAAAGGTCTATTAAGTCATAATCATACGACTAAGCATGCATCAAATGGTCGTAATAAAGGCCTAGCTTGGATCAAATTTCAAGGTTTCACTTGGAAACTGAACTACTAAAATACATGAGTTTATCATATATAGGCTCTGGTTATGAAATGTTTTCAAAACACCAAAAAAAACGACTTAAATACGTTACAAAATGAACTAAGATAAACTTAGTTAGAAAACTCGCAATGTATAGTCATCCTAAAAACTCATTTCCGTCTCACCTTTAAACACCTTGGTTGAGAGGTGCCTTCTTCGTAGACCTATAGGGTGCGATCATACCAGCGCTAATGCACCGGATCCCATCAAAACTCCTCGGCTAAGTGTGTGGACAAACATGATCCTAAGATTATTAAAGCTTAACGCCCGTACGAAACCTACTTATACCCACTACCATAAATCCATCTCAGGAACGTTAGCAGAAACACTAGGAATAGTACAGTAATGTGAAATAATTTATATATGTGAATATAAATCATAAGGATGCACTTGAGAAAATTATTTCGACTCACGAAGTCGTTTTTCATCATAAAACAGAGCTATGTCTTCACCAAGAGGCAACCAACCAACTAGCAAGGCATCAACCCTGCAGATAGACTCTGCTACTTTTCAAGCTGCAGTCACGGCAGCCGTGGCAGCCGTCATGTCGCAACTAAATGCTACTCATGCCAGCAGGCGCGGAGATGATGTCAGAAATACTAAATACAATAACAATCAAGAACACCAGCGAGCGTCTACCAATGAAAATGCCTCAGACCACAAACCTACGAACAAGAAGCGAAAATTTTGGAACAAAAAGGAGCGCAACCAATCTCAGAAATCCGCTAAAAGACAACAACCCATGGCCACCCCTACAATTACAACAGCAGTCACGACACATGCCTCGACACTAGCCACAAGGTCTGTCACCCAAGTGTCGGCCAGTCCATATAAGGGATCTCCCCCAAAGTGTATCAAGTGTGGCTTCCATCACAATGGGGTTTGCCGAGAGATGCACTGTAAAAAAATGCAATAAGAACGGGCATACCGTCCGTTTCTGTAAGGCCCCGACTCAACACACACTACTAGAAAAAAGGCCTTTTACGACGCTCATTGCGCGTCGTAAAACGCTCAGACGACGCGAAAATGTGTGTCAAGGAAGGCCCTGTCATAAAGAGAGACGACGCGCTTTTGCGCGTTGTCTATAGACGACGCGCATTTACAACTCACATTTATGACGCGCATTTACGACGCGCGGTTATGACACGCATTGCGTATCAAGGAAGGCCCTGTCATAAAGGTAGACGACACGCATTTGCGTGTCGTAACCTTACGACGTGCGTGTTTATGACACGCAATGCGTATCAAGGAAGCCCCGGTCAAGAAAGGCCATGTCATAAATGAAGATGACACACATTTTTGCGTATCATAATTTTAAATGTTCTAAAAAAAATATTTATATATTTATTAATTTTTAAATTAAATTTGCATTTAATGTCTCATAATAGAAATAAAATATCATATACAAAAAATACAATCCATTGCATACAATTTAATGTCATACAATTCTATTTTTTACAATATCTAAATTTGCATCTAATCTACTCTCTACATCAAATTCCAGCTAAGTAAAGTTGCATCTTGCCTTTCATAATTCTTTAAGACTAGTGTTGCAAGATTTGAATCAAGTGGCTTCATATTCGTTTCTTCCACCAACTTTACCTGATGCACAAAATACACAGAAACAAAAAAAACATTGTAGAGGAAGGGGTAATTTGGGAAAATGTGAGGGGTATCCTTTGCAAAACAAAACAAAAAATATCCTTTGCAAGATTTGCTCTTTAGTATCCTCTGGAAACAAAATAAAAAATGTATATCAAAAAATTAAATTTTTTATAGTTTTATATTATAATACACAAATAACTAAAAGTAGGTTGCTATTTCTTAAAAAGTAATTCAACTTTGGCATATTATAGCTTACCTTCTCTGTTGGTGGCAACTGCAATGAGTTCTTTCACAGCTATATCAGAAACAAGATAAAACTACAGAAAAAAAATGTAGGTTAACTCAGCAAATGATAAACCAATAGTTGGTAATTTATAATCTTTCTTTCATCATACAATCTTTATTCTTTAGGTATAATGTATTTATTAATCCAACAATATTGACATTATGCATAACTTGAATTCAAATATAAATTGGACAAGATATAATGTCTTTCTTAAGCAAGTAGTTCAATATGCTACCCCACTATCGTTGACTATTAAAGAAATTAGGGCCAAATCTAACAGTAGAATGTTTATGACAATTAAGGCCTCGTTTGGAAGCCAGCAACAGTAATACAAGCTAGAAAAGAGGGAACAGGTGGTGTTTTTAAGTTATAATTTTGAATAGAAAAGGCAAAACTTCTATAACAACTACTAAAGCAACTGAAGTTAATATCATGATGCCTTCCTCAGATCCTGATGCTGATCTGGTATGCTTGCTTCCAATTTATTTTTCTTAGAAAACTTTCTAGAGGTAGTTACGTCATTTGCACACACAAGAGATTGAAAACAAGTCCTGGTCAAAGTTTCTACCAAATATACAAAATTTGTATGTTATTATCGTACAAAATATAGAAAAAGAGGTGAATATCTAATTTTTATTAGCTGATTCTTTCTATATCACATGTCTCACCTGTTATCAATAAAATCTAAAACCTAAAATGATCAATTTTTAAATAAACGAATTGAAATTGGGACGTGTAAAGATGTTTGTACTTTTATGTTTGTAACATGTCACAATGGTTAAATTGGAAAAATGTTTGTAACTTTTATGGTTTGACAGGAAAAATATAAAGTATAAGTGGTTTAACAGCAAAATTGGTCAAAATATAATGATTTTTTCAATATAAAGATAAATGTAGGAGCATACTCTGAAATATTTATCATGTTGTCTACATCATTGGTGAACAAATGCATCTTCTGTGCTAGATAGAATATTCTTTTAGGGGACAAATGTAATGTGTAATTAGGAATCTCCTTAAGATACCTGTGTAATCTTTCAAAATTCCTGTATCAGTTGATAAAATGGAAAAATAATAAATAGAAATATTTGCTACAATAAGTATGAAATTTAAAGGGTAGTTAAAGAGATTAGTAATAACACCTTTTCACAAACCAAGTTTTGTCATCAACATCAGTCACTGCAATAAGTATGAAATTTAAAGGGTAGTTAAAGAGATTAGTAATAACACCTTCTTTTTCTTTTTTGGTTTGTTTGATAGTTCTGTCATGTCAAAGTGCAGCTGCTTTTCATATTCTCCAATAGATTCTGCTTCCATATTATTTGGTATCTGATATGCACAATGTAAAGAACTTTGTTCATCCTGAAAGGAATTCGTATCACCACTTGAAGCATATGCTCTATTTGGTGCCTGATTCATCAAATAATCAAAAAGTCATAAACACATTCAATTACATTGAGCTAAAAAGGTTTTGCATAAGGGAGCAACAATAGTCGACATGACTGTCACTGTAACCCTAGCACCAAACTATCATCTCCCACTAGATGGCACATCAACAGTAAGAAATCTATTTTTTAATATAATTATTTCCATTATTAATAATCATAAATAAATAATTTTACAATTTACAGGCACGTGGAGTTACAGAAGGTGAGGAATCTGTTATGAGCAAGATGTAATCAGCAACATGCTTTTAAAGGGTTTTATCCTGGGAAAAGATGTTGTTTCCAAAGCCAAATCATTCGATGAGAAAATAGGATTAACTAAGAAGGTGACTACAGGAACCTCCATGGTCAACTAAAAAGTCAAAGAGGTCGACTAGAAGCTTCAGATTTCTGCATAGACCAAGTCAGCGTATGCAGCCGCTGCTTCATGAGTGACAAACACTTTTAGTAAAGTGGCCAAATCAGCATCCGAAGTTGGACAGCAGACAAAGGAAAAAGATGACATGGCGTCAACTCAGCAGCCACCTAAGACTTCACAAGTAGAAGGTTTGATCCTTTTGTTTAATCCACCTTTCTTTGTGTACATAGAACATCATATTAAACTGCCCAATGTGAATTAGGATTCTAATTTTATTTCAGAAATCATTTAGACCCAAATTAAAGTCAATGGTTATAATTTATTAAAAAAAACATCTACTGGAATATTGTTTCACCTTAATTAATTGGGCTCGAAGTGACTTCTCAAAAGCATTGTGAGAAACAAAAACAAAAATTTTCATCTTTTTTCTTTTTTTTTTTACAAAAAATGATTTTTTAATAGATTTGTGATTGAAATCAGACTTACTCTCTATATGTACTGATTTTAAGTCCATTGTAGCTTACCACAAGCCTAACTGTCATGCTTATATCCTCCCTGCAGCATATCACATCAAAATTCAAATACTTGAATTAGATGATAAATTAAATTAACCATACTTTATTTTTTTCAAAATGTAAAGGAATTATATACTACTATTAATATTCTAGGTAAAAGATTATCATTCATGGCATAATACCTGAGAAGATCAGAATAAAAGTTATGATGCTTGTTGACCTCATCTTTGGGAAGAGAAGCATAGTTTTACCTCAGCTTCTTACAGATATCAAGCATTTGCTACAAACGGGATCAAACAAAGAGTTGAAAGGAATGATGAAAACTGTGAAGATACAAGACATTGATGTTAGTATAAATATTATGTATATCTTTCTTTTGATACTTTGTAATTACAGATCATTTAATCTTGTTTTTATGTTTAGAATTTTCAAGATGAAATGATGGACATGATGGATATAAGCAGTGAGATACAAGAATCTCTTGGTAGAAGTTTAGTGTGCCAGATGATATTGATGAAGATGATCTTATGGGTGGTAAGCACAAATTCATTATTATTATTTTTCTTTTTTTAAATGTTAACTTCACTTCATGGAAATGTTTAAGAACTTGATGCTTTGGAGGCAGACATGGGTCAAGAAACTGAAGGTGAAGGGGTACCTTCATATATTCAACCTGATAATGAACCTGATCTGGATGCAGAACTTAATATGCCTTTAGCTCCAAGTGGACATGCAGTGCCAGTGAAACCATCAATCAAATGAACTCATTACAAGAATCTAGAGTAAAATCACAACAAATTTCAAGAATTTCAGATACCCAAATTGCTAAAATTGAGAACTCTTATGTTTCACATATGCAATCTAACATCAGAAATGAAAAACAAGAAGTGCATTTAGATACTTCAAGAACAGATAGAAGAGAAGAAAAACATGAAAGAATAAATCATATGACCTCATTACAAGAATCTAGATTGAAATCACAACAAACTTCAAGAATTTCAGATACCCAAATTGCTAAAACAGTGAACTCTTCTGTTTCTCATACATCTAGCATTAGAAATGAAAAAAAAAAAAGAATTGGGTATATGATTTTTAACACTATTGATTCAAAAAAGTTTTACCTAGTCGAGCAGCATGCTTAAGCATCATCTGTGGTAATATCCCTTTCTGCAAGGTTAGCTTCCGAATTTAACATCATTAATTAGTTAATTAATTAAAGGGTATTTTGGGAAAATCATAAAAAGATAAGTTTTTTGGTTTTGTGTTACTAGGTTATGCGTAATCCTGGAGGATTGAGTAGAGGTTCTGGTTTTAAATACTAGGAATAGGAATATCTTTTACAGGTTCTTGATCTTTGGGTAAAGGGGTTTTAGGAGGGAGACCTTATCTTTTTATAGGTGTGTCTTTTACAGGTTCAGTGAATGCAATAACTGCATCAGGATCTGGTCCCACTTCAAATTCTTCATGATTTTCTATTTCTGCCCTTGGTTCTGTAGAATCCAGGGCACCATAACATAAGATCTGCAAAATCATTAGCTTCCTACCTACAGAAAGGGTATAATAGTCCTTTTCCAAGACATTCACAGAATTATGGTCAACGGTGGGGATTTTAACCATACTAAGTTGTGGAGTATTAATGAGGACTTAGCTCTGCAGTATCAGCTTAGCTCTACCGTATCAACTTCAGTGTCTTTTGCTTTCTTAATCAATGAGAACTTCAAATAGATAATCAAAGTCAATATCAATTATCTAAGATGTGGTCAACTATTAAACCAATAGATCAATTAAAACCCTAAACTAAATATACCTCACGTTTAGGGAACTTTGGCATTTCTGCTAATATATCCATGAGGGCTGCACCTTTCCTACTCAATTCAAAATACTCCACAGCCGTTCTCATGTTTTTGTAGCATTAATCACTATTTGGTATTAAAATTTTTGGGATTTGACCATGATCAGAAATGTCGATCTTGTTAAGCCTAACACAACATAAAACTTGCTCGGGTAGTTCTTCAGGATGTCATGCCTAAAAATTGAGAATCCAATCAAATACATATATTCAGTTTATGAATCACAACACAAAATCCAATTCCATATTCAAAAACTAGAAACCCAATTTACCTGAATCGTTAAACCAATGCCAAGAATCCCATGTTTCAATCGTCCCTGGAATGCATCAAGTGCTTTCCGAGAGATGTAGCTGAATCGATGTATATCTAGGTCAATTTCGAAGTAGTTATGTCTGTGCATAAAAAGAATATGCACAATTTCAATTTCGTAATTCCGAATTAAAGATTGAGATTTAAAGATTAACACCCAAGATTTGGAAAGGAATTACGAACCCGATAGAATGTTTGTTGAGGGCGTGAAAGAACCAGTTTATTGTGTATCCACATTTTGAGTGCCCAAAATATCACCGAACCCACCGTATTTAAAGATCTTAGCAGCTTCAACACATTCCTCTTTTAATCTGCTTAGGAATCACGAATCCAGAGACGCCGCGATTGTGGTGGAAACGATTGATAGATCCGCTGCTTGTTGGACGGTCCATTTTCCGGTCTCTTCCATGCCTGTTTTATCCAACACTTTGTCGACTAGATATTCGTCTCCCTTGTCGTCCTTGATTTCGAAGATGTCTCGGTGATTTCAATCAAGAAGCTTTGAAGATCCCCCAGATTCCATTCGGAGAACACTTTGTGTAGTTCCTTGTTCAAGAGTTTCCCAATGGATTTAACATGTCGTATGCTTCGGAAATCAGCTACATGTCACCATACTCGATTCCGTTGTGGACCATTTTGACGAAATTGCCGGAACCGCCTTCGCCGATGTATGTGACACATGGACCACTGTCGGGTACTTGAGCGGCTACTTTGAGCACATTGTGGAGAAGTGAAGCGGTGGATGTTTGAGAATCAAGAGAGAAGAAAGAAAGAAAGCGGGTTTTCAACAGGGACGAGCTAGGGTTTTCAACCGGTGGAAACAAAGCGGGGTTTTTAATTTTTTGGATTTCATTTCCCCCCATGAGAGATGCAACGCGCGTTTCATTAAAATTTATAAAACGACATGGTTAGACGGCGCACATTTTATTTAAGGTGCCCTCCGTGCTTTTATTTTTATTTTTATTAGACACTAATTTAAGAGCACGCAAAAATGCGTGCCCTCTATGCTTCATATTTTGGAAAACTAACATCAATTTTTAGGGCACGCACAAATGCCCATCCTCTATCAGCGTGTGTCATTGATTGCGCGTCGTGAAAGGCTGTTTTTCTAGTAGTGACATCGCTTCAACCCCCAATACCAATGTAAGTCCAGTGTGCTGCCTATGTGGCGAAATAGGGCACTTCAAAAGAGACTGTCCAACTGAGAGGAATGACGGAGGAGCACGAGGAGTGTGATGAACACACCAGCAGGAGCAGCAAGGGAACCATATTCGGACTTTTGTAATGTTTCCAACGACAAAAACGTTTAAGTACCACATGTTTGTAAATAATTTTGTATGCTTGCTAAAATCACCATCTTTCTAAAAGTAGTTAAAATACTCTCTCGTTCAAATCAAACCAAAAACACTCATATATGACCTTAGGATCATTACCTGTAAACTGTGATGACTTTATACATACATCGGGGTTAATTATAATCAAAATACTAAAGTCTTGAAACAAATAATTCCATCCTGACTCCTATTCCATGTCTAGTAGTTGGAATTGAGTGGGGCCACACACTTGATGATTTTACCAACATCAAATTTCATACGACGTTCAAATACCGCTCGATCATAGGGAGACCTGTCAAGGATCATGATATCAAGTATCATTACTAGCTATCGAAACACACCCACTACTAATGCTAGATACTATGGCATGAATCATCTACAGTAATAATAATATCGAACAAAACGAAACACACTAAAGAGAAACACAAGATACTCTATCACCCTAATGAACACTTCTTATGAATACAACTTAACACATGTTTTACCTAAAGAGATACTGTTGTCACCATTCAATTTCGATTGGTATAGTCCTCATCTTCCCGGTTTAATGACTACGAAAGGACCCTTCACCTAACCCACTGAATATCGAAACCTTTGTCTCCTATAAACACATCCAGCACGGACCTCCGAGTCATTTCTCGCTGAGAAACCCCAAAACACGCACCAGAGGAGTGTTATACTTCCCGAAACCTTATCACAAGTATTTCCAGGAGACCCTTCAGGAATGTCACACATACAACAGACAAGGTTCATGCACCGAAGCTTGGGACGGATACGGTTAGTCTACCACTACTACGTGTATACGCAAGGATAATGTATAATTAAGATTCTACAGACAATGGATGTGTGCTTCCGCCCTATTTCCTGTTCCATGTCTGGTTGTGGACTTGGGGCAGTGTCACCCAATCAACTGTATTGCCAACCTTAAGAACATACGACCTATATGAGCAAGTTAATGATAGATGGACCAGGTACGAGTCCTGCCATGAACTTCGGGTCAAGGTTGCCCAGAAGGACGAGTGAACGTCTTACCATCCGAATAAGTCTAGTCACGTAAACCAAACCCACATGCTTCCTATCGAGCTAAGAAATCGAGGAACACTACAGTAGGCCCTATGCAGCGCTCTGAGGAGAAGTTATTACTTATGACTTAAGACAGCTAAAGACGTACGAGGTAGGCTAGATAACGCATGACCTCGAACTAGGAGCAGTAGAGTTTTCCCTAGAGGTTTAGAGGCACCATCCCTACAACACGAAGCATACAATCTTCACCGATCATAAGAACCTAGAAGGCATAGACGGCGGGGCATGTTATCCGATGAACCGGATCTGGACACCGAGGTTGATGGATTTAGAAATAATGTCACAAACAAAGCACATGAAAACTCACTACTTCCCTTCATCATGGCGCGGATAAGATGTGTCCAGACCTCAAAAAGTGCCATCAATGGGTGAATAGGAAATCAGACATCGTTACACATGTAGGCAAGTATCGGACTTGTGCCAATGATAAGAAAGAATAAAGGAAGCCTTCGCATCTCCTACAACAACCAGTGATACCAGAAAGGAAGTGGGAGCGGCTAACCATGGGCTTCATACCCAAGCTACCCAAGGAAATGGATGGTCTCGATACCATTTGGGTAACCATCGACAGACTGTCCGAATCCGCATACTTCCTACTAATCAAAGAAATCGACAGGATGGAGGAATCGACTAGAACATACATCAAATAGATTATGCGACCACGGGGCCTATTAATATATGTTATCTCTAACAGAGTTAGTAGATTCGTTTCGTCAGCTTGGCAACCCTTATACAGAACTAGGTTGGACTTGAGTATAGCCTACCAACACCAAACCAACGGGTATAACAAAAGGGGCTGTTCAAACCTTAGGCGACATGTAAATAGCTTTGGTGATTAACTTCAGTAAAGCGTGGGAATGCCCACTTACCACTTGGCGAAATCGAAAGGAACGAGAGTCTCAACTTTGTAGAGGAGAGCCCAAAGGCACACATAGAATACACTATCATTTCAAAACAATAACTCCTTTAAATCGACTTAGCTCAAGTTGCAACAAGAGATTCCAAGGTTGTCATTTAACATCAGAAGGATTGGTCCCCACCATACCAGTTTCTTGTACTAAGAAAAGTTTCCCCCATCTTCTCTCCAAATTCTCGAAGTCCCAGTCAAAGTGCTAATTTTGGGACGAAATTCCCTCTAACGGGGGGATGATGTGACAACTGTCAATTTCTGGTCAAGTCAAAGTCA